ACTCCTCGAAGATAACCACTTGGCAACCACGCCCAAGAAATATAACTTATAATATAATAACCACATACACACTATAATATAATATAACATAATAACCTAGACCCATGGTCTAGGTGGTTATTGTGGTTATTATATGGACGCAACATACCCCAATGTGGAAATTGCCACCAACAATACGGACACACAAAATCTCATTGTCATTGCACACCAAAATGCATCAAATGCGCTGGCAACCATGCATCCAATAACTGTGCTCGAAAAGAAAGATGTGATTCAGTAAAATGTATTTTACATAATGGAAATCATCCAGCCAATTACAAACGCTGCAATGTATACAAAGAGTTACAAAAACAGAAATACCCCCCAAACTTCGACAAAAGAAAATCAAACACCAGTCCAATCCAAAAAATATAAAAGAGGCTGATACAGTAAATAACACCAACAATCAACACAATATAAGAATCCATGCCGACTCCATGAAAGGTAGCCAAAAGGACACACCTCACAAAAATACCATAAATATCTCTCAACCCTCACACCAATCTGTGATATGAATCAATTACTAGAAATTTTTAAACAAATAATGAACCAGATGTGTGTGATGACAAACCTACTAACAAATTTAATGACAAAATAGGTGATCACTTCAAGTTAGTGCTCTGGAATGCCAATGGCTTATCAAAACTTTCTTAGAAGTAAAAAGATTTCTTGAAATAAATGACGTTGCCATAATGATGGTGTCTGAAACTCATTTTACCAACAAAACATTCTTTAACATGCCAAAATACAGGACATACCACACAATGCACCCAGATGGTACAGCACATGGTGGCTCGACAATAATAATCAAAGAAAGAATTAAACATTATGTTGTTGACTATTACTGCACTGAGCAAATACAAGCCACAAACAGTAGTTCACGATTCCAAAGGCCCGCTGTTAGTTTGTGCGTTGTATATCCCGCCATAACATAACATGAAAAGCCAGGAATATACAGTTTTCATTAAAACCCTTAGCCACCATTTTATTGCTGGCGGAGACTACAATGCCAAACACACAGAATGGGGGTCAAGACGTACTACCTCAAAGTGACGCGAGTTGCTGACTTGTATTAGAAACTTACAGCTTACATGTTACTGATATCACAGAAGCCGTGGAAAGTTTTAACCAGGTCATACAGAAAGCCGCCTGCGTTGCCACCCCACAACAACCAGTTGGTAATGGCACTTACTATTCTCCAAAATCTATCTTGGAGCTGGTCAAATTAAATCGCCAACTAAGAAGTTGTGGCAATAGACCAAATTCCCTGAACACAAAACTAAACTTAATAAAATTGCAAGTACACTGAAAGAGTCTCTTGAAACATTCAGAAATAAAACCATGGGGAACTATCTTAAAAACTTAGACGCAACACCAGCCACAGACTATTCACTTTGAAAGCCGACTAATAAAGTTAAAAGACCAATAATTTATCAGTGTCCCATTAGCGATGAAGAAAAGGCACAGACATTTGCCCGTCACTTATCGGACGTATTTACGGCAAACGATAATTATGGTTCCAGCAAATTCGAAGAGACATTGTTAGAATTAATTAAACCACATCAATTAGACCTACCAGTAAAAAAATTCAGTAAACGAGAGTTAATAAACGCCATCACAAAAATAGACATCCATAAGGCCACGGGATGACTTAATTACCGCTAGGATGCTGAGAGAGCTGCCTGATGTCGGTATAAAGTTCCTTCTACAAGTTTATAATGCGTGTCTCTGGAGAAACTTCGCACCACCCCAGTGGAAAGTCGCTGAAATAATATTGATACCCAAGCCCGAAAAGGATACTACTGAGGTCATATCCCACCGCCCGATCAGTCTATTACCAATACCTTCCAAGATCCTGGAAATAATCTTTCTGAAACGTATTGCACCAGAAGTGACCGCTGTCGAACTGATCCCGGAACACCAATTTGGGTTTAGACAATCTCATGGTACAATTGAGCAGGTGCGTAGGCTGGTAAAAAATATTCACTGTGCTTTCAAACACAAGCTATATTGCTCTGCTACCTTCTTGGACATATCACAGGCCTTTGACCGTGTATGGCATGATGGACTACTGTACAAAATACGCAAAAAATTACCTATAAACTACTTTCTATTCATAAAATTCTACCTTAGTGAAAGACATTTTTACGTTAAGTACGGTAATAGTATAACAAATCTATAACATAAATGCAGGCGTGCCACTGGGAAGCGTAATGGGACCGATGCTCTACCTTATTTACACTTCAGATTTGCCAAACACACATGAAGTACTAACGGGAACTTTCGGTGACGACACTGCGGTTCTTGTAGTTGAGGAAACTACCGCAGATGCGTCAGCAAAGCTTCAACAAAGTCTAAATAATATATATCCCAATGACTAAAAGATTGGCGAATAAAAGCAAACGAAACTAACCCTGTTCATGTTACTTTCACTCTGAGACGGGATACATGCCCTAAATATAAATACATGCCCTGAAGCACTAAATCACATAAAAATTCCTCAATCCAATGAAGTCCATTACCTGGAAGTTTATTTGGACCGGCGCGCCGGTAATAAACGAGGAAGGGAATTGTTAAATTGACACAAATTGTTTTTCTTTTGCAGTACATTATTGTACTCTTGACTAAAGACGTTCATTGGTATATTCACATTGTCAATTGACAAAACTAACAAAACCTTCAGCCCAAAAATATCTTACTGGCGCGGTTCAAGAATTTAATAAAATATTACTAACGCCATCTAGCGGCTTACTTGGAAAAAGCATATATCCACAAAACGAAAAGCTTTTGATCAACAGCTAAGGAAACTATACTGGCTTATAGGAAGAAACTCACAACTTACAATGGACAATAAACTCTTACTGTGCAAGTGTATTCTCAAACCAATTTGGACTTACGGCTTGCAGTTATGAGGCACGGCATCCACAGCCAATATCGAGATACTGCAAAGATTTCAATAAAAAATGTAACGTATAATCACTGGAGCACATTGGTACATGACAAATCAACGCCTTCAACATGACTTGGCAACTAAAACTGCAAAAGAGGAGATAAGCACTTGCTGCTTGCCTATTCTAAACGCTTACAAAGACATCCTAACCTACTTGCAAGAAACTTAATGGCAAAACAGTCTAATCAAACATTTCAAAGATTAAAGAGATAACCTCCCCAAGATGTTTTTCTAAGTGAAAATGATACACAATGAGATGGACATATCAGTGGACAATGTACCATACACGCCTTAGACCAAATGTTTAACCCCCAGCTAAATGTTGACAAGACAGCTTGCAGGGACAAGAAGATAATAAAAAAACACCTAACCTGCTGAATGGGGGGTGCAACCAAGATTTGACCTATGTAAAATAAATTTGTTTTAGTTTCTTTCAATCTTAAATGTACAATTACTCATTAATGTGTGCTTTTTAATTAAAATTTAATTTAATTGCAACTATTAATATTTTATAATAAAAATTTTGCTGCAATACCCAAATGCCGTGCTCTCCTAACCTACAAAACCTGTTTCCTATCATAAATGATATTTTCGAATATTTCAATAATTTTTATTATCAAAACTATGAGTTTCCGTAAGTTAATATTTTAGGATTAGATTACTAACTATGTAACCGACTCACCATATTAATTTCAACTCTCAATTCGAGTGTAGGTATTGTACAGTTGGGCCAAAATTTTACTTATGCGTTTTTACACATTAATAAAATTATGCTTTATTTTTTTTAGAGAAGTACTTGTTTAATATACAAACATCAAAAGTGTCTAGGGATCAAGTGAATATTTTTGAAATAAAAATTATTTAAGCAATATTTACCAAATCCAGTCTTCCAGGACGACTTCTTACTTTAATGCTTATGTTTTATTTAACCGCTTACCCCTATATTTAATTAAAATAAACTAAAATATATGTTTTTGCAAATTGTGGGAAAAAACTCAAATTAACGGCGTCAATTAAATGACAAAAAAATGGCGAAAATGATGATTTTGCTCATTTTTATTGTAAAGATAAGTCTTAATAATCTGTATTTCCACCATTAACACGAATCACACAATTACAGCGATTTGGCATGCTTGAGTGATGAGTTCATCAAAATCACTTTGAGGAATGGCCGCCCATGTGTTTTGTAACAAGTCAAAATATTGTTGTAGAGTATGTACGGTATGCATACTCGGCACAGCTCTTCTTTGAAGCATATCCCACGCGTGCTCAATTGGATTGAGGTCTGGCGATTGAGCAGGCCACGGCAGAGCGTTGATACGAGCTTCGGCAAGAATGCGTGTTACGACTCTAGCCGTGTGTGGACGTGCGTTGTCATGCATTAGTTGAAATGAATCACCCAACTGGCCTCGCAAAGGGATGATAACATCTGAAACAATCCTCTATGCGTAAACTTGAGCATTGAGGTTACCCCTGATCCAAATGAGATCGGTTCTTCCGCTGATCCAAATACCGGCCCATATCATTATTGTTCCCCCACCATATGGATGAACTTCCTGACAATATCTCAAACGTTCATGACGTCCAGATGTTCTCCAAACTCGAGTACGTCTTGTATCCGGTCTCATACCGAAGCGGGATTCATCCGAAAAGCACACATAGCGCCAGTCTTCTTCCTCCCAGTTTCTGTGTTCGCGAGCCCATCGTAAACGGGTCCTGCGATTGCAAGGTGCAATAGGTGGAACTCTGAGCGGCCTTCGGGATCGCAGACCCACTTCACGTAAACGATTTCGGATTGTTTGATCGCTTATTAGCAAGCCTGAGGAGCTGTGGAGCCTCGTAACCAACATCATGGCGGTCATGGTACGACTCCGTCGAGCAGTATTTTGGATATACCGGTCCTGTCTGCGAGTCGTGATGCGAGATCGTCCTCCATGTCGCTCGGCCACGCTGCCCGTCATGCGATAGCGTGTCCAGAGGCGACTTATGACGCCCTGTGTAGTGTTAAGAGTGAAAGCCACAGCACGTTGCCTGGAACCAGCTTCCAACATTCCGACGGCTCGCATCATCACTTCTCGGGTTAAATGATGTCGTCTCTCCATAATAATGTAAATTGTTTCGGTTCCGATGCAGATATTGTAATGATTTTGTCAAAACGCTATAACTCATTTTTATACAAAACCACATTGACAATCGATTTTCTTCTTATTATCGAATTTTAAACAATATTCCTTATTTAAATGTTAAAATTCACTAAAAAGTATCAATAGCGATACAAAAAAGTTAATATAATTAACCCTAATTGCAGCAATACTCTTAAACGTACTTGATCCCTAGACATTTTTGATGTGTGTATTTCAAATATCGCACTGTTATTACAATAGTGTATTAAGTCAAAAAGTGTATTTTCTTAGAATCAACGAAAATGAATTGCTCGCTTCCTGTGAAAGATCTGTGTAAATTTATGTATAAGTTATTTCCTACTTGCCAAATATACATATTTAAATATAAAGGAGAAAAAATGGTTTCATATTTTTGAATAAGGACAATTTTGGCCAGAACTAGCTCACATAAAGCGTGTCTCATTTTTACTGAAGTAGATATATTTTAGTTGTTTTTTACAATATTCTAACGACGGTCTTATTGACGTGTAACAATGGTATAATCTTAACATATTTTGAGTTACAACTAAAATAGTAAGTATTGTATTGTAAACAAGTTGTAAAACATTACAGCATATTAAAAAAGTATAATTTTATGAATAAAAACTGATACCGGATGTGCTAACAAATGGCTACTTTACAAATCATATACGACACATTCCTTTTTAGGTGTTAACAAAGAGGCCTCCCTGTTAGTTTGGTAGGTGTTTTTTTTGGAGTAGTACTGTATTGTACTAAGTGTATAGAATTTTTGATAAATCGATTAAGTACTTATTATTATACATCTTTTCTTATTATTATTTCCAGGAATTAGCAACACCGAAAGCAGAAGAACCCGATTTTGGCTTCCTTATCACAAATGTAGAGCTGCCACCACTCTGTCATCCAAAATTTCGACCTGGACCACCATCTGACCATGCCCAGGTCGTTAGCAACCTTGTATCAGACATAATAGTCAATTCTAAATGTGTAAATCTGAAGGATCTATGTATAGCATCTGATAAGTTAGCCTGGGTTCTTTATTGTGATATTGTCTGCATAGACAATGATGGAAGTGTGGTGGACGCCTGCATTATTTCTTTGGTGGCAAGCTTAAAAACGTGTAAGTAATAATTTGACACTAGAACTGCATAAAACTTGGTATACAAGGAAGATATTCTGCCTGTCATTATAGACACGTAATGGCGATGTGCATGGCTGAGTAATGGGCTACAGAAATATTAAGTTTGTACTAAGTGAGTAAACTCTAACAATAAGATGACATGATGCTTAATCAAACATCGTTTTTAACACGACTGATAATGGAATGAACTTAGAACAACTAAGCAAAATTAGTATTTATTTGAACACATTCTGTAATAAAAGTATAAAATGTATATCAACAATATTTTACACCTCTTACAGTAACCCTACCCTCTGTTAAATACGATCTGGAAACTGGAACTATTGTTGTGGATGACACAGTGAGGACTCCACTTAACGTTCATGGACTTCCAGTACCTACTAGCTTTGCTGTTTATAAATCTCTACAGAGGTAAAGAAATCAGTTACAAGTGTATTTTTTTTTTTTAATTATGTTCCTTCTATGTACAGATGCCACCACATCAACCTACACATTAACAGATCTTGTTCCATTGCATTAAAGGCAATGTTCAAACAAAAGTGCATGCTTGATGTGGTTTTGACTGTACACAGATTTTCAATTAGACATAAGAACTGACAACTAGCGCCATTTGAAAAAATATGTTGCCATGTTTATTGTAATGTGTTTGGTTGAGTTCTCCGTGAAGCAGAACAGTCTCCGTGAAGAGAAAACACTGAAGATTTTTTACTAGTAATCTGCCAAACAATATTTAATTTACTACTTTACAGGGTGTTTAAGTCGACGTCAAGCCGGGACAGTAGTGTCATAGAAGTCATGGCCTACAAAAAAGCCCATGGTACTATGGTAATATTTCCAAGTTTTTTTTTTATAACAAACCTTAGTGGTTTAAAATGCGATTAGAAACATATTTGTGTATTTTGTCCTTTATACAATAAATAAATAAAAAAAAATTAAAAATTTTATACACGTTACGATTTTTACGTTTTAACACCTTTGGAGGCGACTGTACTCAAACATATTTGAGTTTTTTCTATCTTTCTTTTCCTTTTTATTACTTTAAAAAAACCTGTTTTTAATGAGCTAGACATTAAATTAAATTCCTCTCTAAAAGATATTTTAAAAATATCAAGAAGCATGCACTTAATAATTGTAAAAGCTTGTCTACTTATTTATCTAATTACTAAAAAAAATATACCTATCTACTTTAATTATGGTTTTTTTCAAAATTTCATCAAACAGGTCGACATTACAGCAATAATAGCATGTAACTTACCATCATCATCACCAGGCGCACGACTTGTTCGACCCGTCATTTGATGTTATAAAAAAAAATACGGGGTATTTGCTCAAGTATAAGAAACCTAATTTTTCGTGATTTCGGTGTTAAGATGGTTTGTGCCACTCGTGACGGTGGTTTCTAACTTCAAATTAAAGAATAAAACATTTGAAAATCAAAACTTTATTGCAATTATGTTATATGTATATTACATTTTTCACAGTAAATGTTCAAGATGGCGGCTGACGACCCTAATACACATCCTGCACCGCCTAATCGTAGCATCATGGACTGCAGCTTAATTAAATTAGGGTTTTTATATTATTTTTAAAATAATATAAAAAATTCAGGTTTTTCACACTTTAGCAAATATCCCGTTTTTTGCTGTAATGTCGACCTGTTTCATGAAATTTTTAATAAAACCATAACTAAAGTAGATGGTACGTATTTTATTTTTTAAATAGATTGAAGATAATAAAAAAAAGAAAGGTAGAAAAAGACATACAAGATGTTTGAGTACTGTCGCGTCCGAAGGTGTTAAAACGTAAAAATAGTAATGTGTATAAAATGTTTAATTTACAAAAAGCGGTGGGAATATAACCATAGTACCATAGGGTTTTTGGTAGGCCATGACCTCCTTGACATCCGCGTTCCGGCTTGAAGTCGAATTAATAGAAATCCGGTCTAGGTACTTCTATTAATTTTCTATCAACTTTCTGAATTTTTGTAACAGCTACAAATTATTAAAAATTCCAATATACTTGAATGATCTACTGAGTGAGTCAGTGAAGTTAGTCTTTTAAGAAAACACTATCTGATTTCACGAAAAACTAGTAACCTACTAAATGTCAGTTTATACCTCTAATCAAAAATCTGGCTGGTGCATGCACTCAATCTGACCAATAAAAGCAATTGTTGTTCAATCTTTGTTACCCAGTGGCAGAATTTACACGATTAAAATGAATTGATACATGTTCTCCAAACTGTCAATGTCGAAGCGAGCACTGTCACTATTGTTGTAATAACTCAATATTTGGAAAACAAGGGGGAAATATTTGTCTTGACAAGAGTTTTGTTTATTTGTGCTATACTTATTGTACGCCTATTAACGCTATGGTGTTTTACGTCTGGGTTTCAAATTGTTGCGTTGTTAAAACTGAGGTTCGGTTTGACAAAACCTCTAGAAAGGGGAATTTTTTAAATGTTCATTTTCTACGATAATCATTTCACAAAGAAGTCATTTTATCATGAATTTATGTATGGTCTCGAAGTCTATTCAATCAATGAGTAGTTACAAAATAAATCAAAACTTATTTCATTACCTTTAATTCCCTTATGGTAGAAATTACAATTTTATTATAGTAACTCATCTTCAAACTCTGAATGACACATTGAAGCATTTACAGTTAATGTCAGTTATTTTTAAATAACACTATTATAAAGAGTGGTATTAATAATATGAAAGGTTCAAAATGTAACCTATAGCTTTTATTATTAATTACTATTTGAAGATGCTTTTCCTAGATGTGCTTAGTTTAGAGTAGTAAATCACAAGTTTACACCAAAAATTAATGTTTGTGCTTTCACAGTTTTGACGTAATCATGACGTAATATACAAAATAAGAATAAAACCAATTAATTAATAATCATTATAATTCGTTGTTAAATTGAAGTTTCGAATTAAACAATACATATTATTTCTTTCAGCACCGTAATATTAACAGACCCAACATCATATGAAGAAGAAATGTCGGGCTCCTTAGGCTCGTGTATGATTGTATGCTGCAATCGAGGAGTGCTATGTGGCATACAGAAATTCGGTGGTAGTAGTATTTCCACAGATATTGAAGAAGAAGCTTTAAAAATGGCGAAGGAAAGGGAAAAACTAGTGGAAAATGTTATTGGTACTTGCTTGAAAAATATTAAATGAATACAATTTCTTAGTAATACCGTTGTTTTCAGTTTGAATCACAATTCATCTTCTGACATAAAATATAGATTTTGTGAAATATTTAAATATATTTTGGCAGTCTTTGTTCAGTCCTAGTTGGCTACAAATGCCGGCCGTCCTACATGTAGTTCCTTACTTTTTTTTAAAAGGTGTAGTTCTTTAAATTATCTGTGTGACACCTATATAAAATTTAGGTTCTCGCTGAATTAAATAATTGCTTTCACTCGTGGGTGGTGTGCCAAATATCATTTGAAAACTCGTGTGTTTTGTAATTTTTTGCTAATACTTAATCTAATGGGAATTGATATTCTGTCTTTGAGACACGGTGCCGTTGTATGAAGTAACGGGAAGGACTCTAAGCCGTGAAATAGCAAGTCACCCACCTTATTTATAACCTCATGATTTAGGCATTTATGATTATTTTTTATAATTATATAATGGGTTCAATTTTTTTACATTCCGTAGCATAGTTTATAGGACCTTTTTGTAGACACCGAAAATTTAATTGGGTCATATTCATCTAAAATGTACATTTATTTAAAGTGTGAAGGTAATATTTGTCACAAACCTTTTCGTGGTTAAAAATAATATATGATAATATTATAATAGTATATATTATAATAGTATAAACTGCTGGTATTTTTATATCTAAAAACATTAATTTTCAATATAATTGTAAGTCAATCATTCATTGCAAGGCTTCATTTCATCACATTTGCGATTGTTTATTCAAAGAGCGCTAAGTTATATTTTCTTGGTTTTTTATTATCGGTTTAGTAACATTTCGTTACGTAACGATACGGAAAAGGCCGTGATCACATTGAGCTCTTTCTTTTTCACGTTTTCGATTTCCGTAACTCAAATGCTTAAAAGTTACTTACTTTGGAATCAGAGGAAAGAAAGACCAAGAGATACAAAGACAGAAATGGAGGTAAGAAAAAAGAAGTAAAATAATGTAAGACTACAAGAGATAATAAATTTAAATGGAAATCCTGCATATATCCAACTAGTACTGGAAAACAAAAAGCTAAAAAAATGTATTCTGATTTTGACAAAAAGAAACGAAGGCGGAGACAACAAAATATTGGCTGAAAATAAAAACCTTAACAACTTTTCTATTATGCCTAGAAAAAAAATTAT